ATCGATCCATCGATCTCAGTTTTTGTTGTTCATGTTTCTTGTATTTTTTTTTTTTTTTGTTTTTACGACCAATTGACGGCGAACATTAAGTCATTCCAGTTGATAACATCTGATTCTGTCTGCCGCCGCCCCCTCCTCTTTTTTTCCCGTGTCTGTCATCGTTATGGTTATTGTTATTATTATTGTTATTGCATATGAAAATGTGTTTCTTGGTCAGTGCTCAATTTGTTATCGTTATCGTAATCGCTATCGTTATCATAAACCCCATTGCATTGCGGCTCACGCTCATGACATGACAAAAGAAGACATCTCATTAAGATATAAACGTATATATGTTGAATAAATATATATATATATTTACAGGGTATTCGAAATACGGCAATCATCGGATAATTATTCTTCTTGTTTAATTTGAAATTGGGTTTTTGGACTTTGTGTGTGTGGGTATTTCGGAAATACATTTTCTCACGACAGTTACACTCGACTAGCCCAGTATCTGGGCCTCCGTCTATGTATCTGTATCTGTATCTGTATCTGTATCTGTATTTGTATCTGTATCTGCCGCCCAGCATCTGTAAGCTTGCATAAATATCACCTGTCTGTCTCGCTGTCTGTATCTCTGTCTCTGCCTCTGTCTGTGTCTGTGTCTGTGTCTCTGGCTCTGTACCGAGTTGTCAGCATTGATTTGTTGGCTTGCCGGCCCCAACTGCTCAGCCGGTGCTCGTAGTCGAACTCCAAGTTACTTCTATATCATTAGAAACCATTTATCTTGGTAAATGTAAATGTTTTACCATATATTTATGTCAACCGAGCGTTGTCTCATTTGGCTCGCATGCGTTGCCAAGATCTATGACACCGCTCCGTGCCGTAGTCGTAGTCGGAGTCGGAGGCCCGAGTTCGAACCGGCTGGCTGGCTGGCTGATTGGCAAACTTTGTCTGAGCAGCTGATGAAGCTGTGCTTGCCAGGCTGCGCCATAAACAACTCCATTGTTACTTCCATTCAACATTTAGCTCTCTATTCATATGAAATTTAAAATAAAAATTAATTAGAGAGCACTCACGTTGACTTTTCAAAATTGCCAGCACTTGTGTGGGCCATAAAAAAAGTTATTGCACACGGAGTGTACATATTGCAACACATAAAAGGAGCCCACTTTGTGCTTAATTAGTAGCCCAGCATCAATTGCCATTTGGGCCATAATTTTTTGTTGACTTTTCGACCCAACATAAATATAATTTCCGCAATTTTCCAACGAATGTGGCCAAAAGGCTTTTTAATTAACAACATTAACAAAATGCCACGCCCCAGTGCTATAGTGCTTGACACACACACATACACACACACACACACAAATGCCCAGCAGCATTTTCACACTCACACCCGTTCGTAAATATATTTTTTCACCAAGATTTCAGCCTCGATGGCACTTAATTACAATTTTCCGCGCTGGCATTTAAAATGACGAGGGCGCATGCCACGCCCACAAACGCACTATCTTAATGTTAACCCATCTCTATTTCTCTCTCTCTCTCTCTCTCCCTCTCTCTCTACCTCTCCTTTGGCAGGTCAGCGATAAATTTCTGGATGCCTATAAGGTTGGCGTTATTTATTGGCCCTGCGTGCAGACTGTGAACTTTGCCTTTGTCCCGGCCCGCAATCAGGTGATATTCACGTCGTTTTTCAGCATGTGCTGGACAACATTCTTGGCCTATGTGAAATTCCTGCAGCTGCATCCACACGTCGATATTGATCATCATGCCGTGGACATACACTTTTTGGAAATGTGAAAAGACACCAACAGCAACAACAACAAGAACAAACCCATTTTAAATCCTAAATAAATATCTATTTAAATTAAAATTCTGTTTAAAAGTTGATTTCCCCAAAAACAACCCACACTTGCCCCAATCTCACTCAACTCGACGCTTAATGACATGTCAAGAGCAGCACATATATATAAATATATATACATATATATATATATTATTTATCCTATACCCTGTATATAAGGCAGTCATTAATTGTTGCTGATAAATGAGCTGTGATAAGTTCTTTTTTAGTTGAAGTAGTTGTATTATGCTATATACTAAATGAGGCAGACACAATTTTTACCCTTTTAGATTGTTTTGTTTCGTGACCAAAAAACAAAACCAACAACAACAACAGTCAATTTGACATGGGTCATTTTAGTATACCCTTTAAAAATGTTTAAAACGGGCATATTCGTTTTGTTTAAATGTTTGTAAACAGCAGAAAGAAGCAACTCCGATCTGATAAAGCATATACATATATTCTTGATCAGGACTACGAGCTGAGTTCGTACTCAGAGATTTTAAGAGCTCGAGATACTTTATTTGTTATGTAGCCTCTTGTATAGTATACACAGATCCAAAATATTTAGTTTTTTTTATACAGAGTTAATCATGAAAGTACTCTCCACAGTGTGGGGCTAAGCTGCTTGTGTTTTTGTGCACATATGTATAGTTAAAGGGTATCTTCTAGTCGGGTACTAGCGACTAGAACACTCTGGCTCGTTTGGCTGGCTTGTTGTTTTTATCATTTCATATTAAAGTAACTAATTAACGGACTGCTCTGCTCTGTTCTGTTTCTACACACATCATATTCGAGAAATGTGTCTGCCTTTGTGGTTTTTTTTTTTATAGGGTTCGTGGGAGACCAACTGCGCGTTGCATGTGGCTTAGTTTTGATGGTGGTGTCAAGTATTTTACTATCTAATATACGCTGACAAAGGCTATTAAAACACACAAGTAATAACATTAAATACTCTTGCAGTAAAGTTTAAGAAAAACGATAAATATGTCTATGTGTACTAAAAGCCTGCCCTGGACTAGAGCTATACGATATGGTAGTCCGATAACTGGACTTAACTGCCGATTTCGGTTAAGATATCTGGAAAACAAAAGCGTTTATGGGATAGGATGTGTCGCCGTTTTGCCCAGTTCATGAGAAACCTCAAATAACCTCTGACAGGGTCTACCTAAGTGGAAATATTTCAATGTATGCAGCTGGGAAAGTATCATTGGGAACAAATTGAAAGCTCACATCTGCATATTTGCAATCAAGCTGAAATGAAACGAGAATTTGAAACGAAAGTTGGGCATCAAATTGACCCGTTTTATTTTACATATGCGCTTCAAAGCAGCATATATCAAAATTAATATGGATTTGGATGCATTAAAATGCGAAACCGTATTGAAAGTATCTCGAAGTTGGAGAAGGGGGTCGTAGGGGATTTCAGGAATTTGAGTGCTCGACATGCGGCGTCTGCGTGCCGAATGCGAGCTGAATGCATAAATAATGCCGATTTAGATTATTCCTGAAACATTCGAGCGAAAAAAGTGCGACATGAAACCGCAAACGATGACGACGATGATGGCGATGATGGCGGCGATGATGACGAGGCTGATAATCAGCCATAGGCTGTTCGAATTAATATGGAAATTTATGCAGGGCTGAGGAAAAGCGAAACCGCAAACACACGCATACACAGCCGAACACATGAGGCAAAGTTTCTTATCAGTAAAAACGTGGCGCACTTCCTGGTCTCTACCCACAACATGACTTCCTCCCGCCTGCCCGCACATCGTCCAGCTGTGAAAAACAATTCAAACCGAAAGTTTCATTAAATTTGCGCAACCCCAACCCCGTACCCACACCCACAGCCAACCCAACCACCACCCAGTGCAGCCTCGACCAACGCCTGGCAAGGCAATTTCCTATACGCCGAGCGCCCATTTCTCAGTGTCGCTGCAGCCCGTTCTTGTCGTTGTTATTGTTGTTGTTGTTGTTTTATAGCGCATTAATTTCGAAAGTAGCGCTACGTGTGCCAAAAATCATTAGCAACGGAATTACGCTCAATGAAATGCAGTCGACGTCGTGAAGTCTGTGAAGGTGGCACGGGAAGGGGGGAGCGGCAACGAGCAACGACAACAAACGAAATATAACAAAAAAAAAAAAGGGGGCAGATAATAAAGCGTGGCCAGGCAGAGGCTGAGGCTCAACGGTGGACAGCAACCAGGGTAACGGGGGGGATTCAACCGACAGCCAAAGCTGGAACGAATGCCGGACGCCCGGCCAAACGACCGACCGTCCGTCCGTCCGTCCAACCTCCCGCCAGAACAACAGCAAAGAGCTGCTTAAAAATTCACCCTAACGACAAGTTAAAAGCCCAATTTCGAGGGTTCGAGTTTGACTTCTGCCGGGGCGCTGGGCTGCCAGAGGCAGAAGGGGGAAAAAGGTAAACAAGCAACGAAAATAAATAAATGGCATAGCGAACTTTGGATACGCTTACCAACATGTCTATTTAAACAAATTCAGAAGCGACGAAACTCTTTGTTTTATAGCCTACTTCAATATATCGCCGATTTGATCTTAACTCAAATTACTTTGGGTCGCCGACAATAATTAAGTATTGATTAAGCTTAAGGCCCCAGCTGCTATTACTTGATCCTAAGTTATGTGCACTTTATTACTTTAAGCTAATTTATAATTATGTATGAAAAAAAAGTCTTTCTATTTTTATTCCCGACATTTTCATTAAAGAAAAACTGATTTTTCAAGTAAAAGTTCATATTAGAACTATATGATATAGTTATCCGATGCTAATAAGATTTTGATCGTTATGTTAAAGCTTTGAGTCTTTCCTGCAGCAGATTATTTAGGCCGTTTTTACTCATTCTTTGCTTTGTCAAGTATTTTTAAAAATAAAATATCTTGGTAGAATAGAATATATCATCCAGTTTTCGACCGTCAATTTCTATGATATAGCGGTCCGATCTAGCTAAAACTGAAATATATACCGCCTGTAGTACATTGACCCAAGATATTGTTAAAACTGAGAGACTAGTTTGCATATAAACAGACGGACAGACGGACGGACATGGCTACATAGACTCGACACTGCATTATCCAGTTAAAGAGGGGCCGGTGACAAAATTATAATACCCTATGCAGGGGCACAGCAATAAATTCCAGTCGGTTTGTTATACATATGTATTTATGTACTTCCGACTGATCTCGATGAAAATAAATTACAAATCGTAAATATATATACAGATATATACATATATATATACATACATACATGTGTATGTATGTATGAGGACATATTTATTACTAACAATTGTTCACGATCTTACCAGTTATTTTAAAAGTATGGCTACGGTATTATTCCAGATGATATTGTCGAAAACTGAGCAAAGAAATCATAAATCATAATTGAAGGAAAGGAAGGCGCGGCCTTAATCACATAGTCGTTGGACACGTAATACCCTCGCACATCAAATTCAAATTCAAATTCAAATAAAATGTAATCAGCATAATCTGTGGAATTTTCAATTTCCCTGCGGGCACATTGGGAATATGGTGCGCAGCTGATGTCATGGACTCGGCTCGGGCTTGGTATCACCCTCGAATGCCTTCTCGGGTATCTGGCGTCGTCGGAGGAGTGTTTGGAATGCCAGCAAGGCCTGCTGATAGTCCCAATTGGTGTCCTTGAGGAATTTGCTGCTCCAGCGCGACTTCAGCTGCGTCTCCGCCGACAGCATGCACATCAAATTACGCTGGACAGGATTGAGCGGCGCCGGCTGCCGCTGGCCGCGGCCAGCTCTGCTGATATAGATGAGCTCATTGGCTATGCGAAAGTCGGCCGTTACATCGGTCCTGGTCAGCAGAAAGCTGCGCATATAATGCCGCAGCACGTTGGGCGAGCCGTTCTCCTCGAAGCTGCCCGTTATGGAGACGCACAGCATCCGGGGCTCGACCAGCGTCAGATCCAGGGTCATCGTTGACGGCAAATGCAACGTTTTCGGCCACGAGGCGAACATCTCCAGCGCCGCGACCCGGCACGCCAGCAACTGGCGGCTATAGGCAGCATAGGGCGCGGTCCTGTGTGGGTGCAGAACATAGAAAAAGAGTCTTAGACATGGAATTGGATTTGGATTTGATAAAGTGTCTGCACCTACCATGAGCCCAGCATGGCGCGATCCTTGGCTAGTGTTAGTGAGACCAGGACGTGCTCCTGATAGAAGCGCTGCAGATCCGTGGCCCTTTTATCGCCGTCGAACGCCTTCAGATAGCGACGCACAAACTTCCTGATGCCCAGCTGCATGGGCAGCGCATGTGGCGCCAGGTACGTGACCCTCGGCTCGGGCATGATAATGGGCTTGCATTCGGTGACAGACACAAGCTCCACATCGCTGTCGCTGTTGCTGCTGCTGCTGCTGCTGCTGCTGCTGCTGTCGCTGTCACTGTCACTGACCGTGACCACGGACGTGCTGCGTTTGGCCACGGAACGGCCGTTGAGGGTGCGCAGATCTGGAAACATGGTGACCAGCTGCTGCTCGTAGTTGCGCGGCAGCGGATTCCGCTTGACGTTGAGCTCGGTGAGACGTAGACGCTGAAAGACACGCAGCGGTCGGAGCGTCTTCAGCTCGTTGTGCTGCAGCGAGATGCAGTGCAGCCGAGGCAATCGCTGCTCAACGCCACGAAAGCCGCCCAGATGGCACAGGTGGTTGTTGTCCAGCAGCAGGCGTCGCAGCTGCGGCAGCTCCTGCTCCATAATGTCAATAATTGCCTCAAGGCACTCGAACTGCTGCAGCGCACAGAACTCGCCCTTCCAGTAATCGTCCGCATAAAAGCGGCACAGATTCAGGCAGCGTTTCCTCTCATCGTACCGCGACATTATCACCTTGCGCAGCTTCCATCTGTACGGCTCGTCCACCGCGATCATGGGCGGTCTGTCGTTAACGCGCAGACCCACGACCGGCGGACGATGTCCGCGCAGCTGCAGCTCGGCGGCCAGTTTGTAGTTATCCACATAGAAGGTGAACGTGGCCCGTTTATCCTGCTCCACATCCTGCTCACCGCCCTCATGCAGATAGTAATACCTGAACTTCCGAGGCGCCACGGCCAGGCGCAGCTTATCCAGCACCTGCTTCACGGTGTACCCGCTGTTCTGACTAAACACCAGGACGCGATACCAGCCATACGGGCTAATGGGCACGGCAAATCGCCAATGTGGACGGCCTACGTAACGATGATAGTAATAGTTGGGTTTGTGTTGTGGCTTTTTCTGCTGCTGGTCTGGGCTCGTAGTAGTGGTGGGATCCACGACAATGGAGCTCAGTCTTTGGGATGTGTCGGCACCTGAGTTGGGGTAATTGTTCTCCTCATTGTTGCTCATCGTGACATTTGCGCTTTCGGCTCATCTAAAAAGAGAAAAATCAAATGAGTTCCAACTTGTAAAAATCGAAAAAAAGAATCTTAATTTGTATTAAGCTGTTGCAAACTATAGTAAACTAATAAATTGAACCAGCATATACATAAACGTGGTTCAAACTTCGTTTTTTAGTTTCTCTGATAGAAAACGTAATTTAAATTCGTAACAAATCTGTATGCAGTGCAGAATAAAAGGGTTTGCCATATGGAAGGCACATTTAACTTTGTCCCTAATCCCCCCCACCGGCAGCTACTCATCCGCTCGCTCATTGTGAATGCTGAATTGAGCTGCCCGTCGTTTCCCGGTTCCCATGCAAGCCAATGATATACACAGTTTGTTGACTGTGGAAACATGAACAATAAAATATTTTTGTAAGCACTTTTTATGGCTGACATTTTTGCTGCTCTTCTTGATTTGCTTTATTCTTTTTCAGTTCCAACGTTTTGCCAATTTATTTGCGATTACCGCCCCTCGTTGTCGCTGTCATATACGCTGCAATTTCCCATGCAGAGTCCCCCACACACCCTGCCCCTGCCCCGTTTTGGTGGCATTATAGCCAAGGGATTCAGCGGAGTCAACGTCCATCCAAGCAGCTCTCCTGGCCATATGTTGCACACATTATGCTTACTTAACAATTAGAGACGCTCTTGTAATTCCAGTAAATTGCTTTGCTCGCTTTCTATACCCTCTACCCAGGAGAGTGCATTAGCTGGGTAGCTGAAACGCAAGTAAATGTTAAGTCTGAAGCCAACCGGATGATAAAAAACAAAACCAACTTAAGTCCAGTCTTTACTCTGCGCTAATCTAGAGCGAAGATCCAAGCTACAGGATATCTGCTAGTTGGTCTCTTTTTTCTGCTTTGGCGCTTTTGTTTTAGGCCAACATAGAGCAGGCTTCAAAGGGATGGTGCACTGTGTTTTTGTACTTATTTTAAGAGCTCTTTGCTCATTGAGCCAAGTGAGCCGTGTGAATGGCGGCGAGTGAGCTTTAAGGACCAATGGCCGACTGACTTTGATGGCCAAATCAGAGAATGCTCAAAGTGTGTCCAGTGAATATCATCATCATCATCGTCATCATCTCCAAGCCCAGGCGAGCGATGCGACATTTCGAATGCATCTGTAGCATCACATCCCACACACAATTGAAGCAAATCGAATAGAAAATCTGAGAATTGATCGGCACGACTCAGATGTCTATTCTAGTATATCTGTTGAGATATTAATGATTACACCCGATGCCATTAAATTGGTTTCTTTTGCTTTTGGCCTCAGATAAATTTCTTTATGCATGATAACTCAGCGTGAACACAAATGTCTCGCCTGAGGCATTCGAACAGGGGAAAATTGTCTGATTGCATGACAGACTCATACACTCAGAGAAAAACGTGAAATGTACAAAAAATGTCTATGATTGATAAATATTAAATATACATATATATATATATTTATCTTGAAATAAGCATTTAGAATTTAGTTGGCAATGAAAATAAATTTCTTCCGTCACTTAAATAATTTAAAGGTTTTTAAATACACATTTTTGCCAATTTTCAAAAAGTCTCGATTTCAGTATTTGTACTTAAAATAATAATAAAAATCCTGCATATTTTCTCTGGGTGCAGACACACACACACACACACACACACACTGGAGGCGTTACTTTCTACCCCGAATACAGAAATAGGGCTCTGGTTCTGAGAGCCGGGCACATTGTGTGCTGGCAGCCAAATCAAAGACCCTTTTGCCCATTTACTGATAACGGACACACACACACACACACACACGTACACACGTACACACCAGGCGGGCCCGTAACATGGCATTTGTTTAATGGATTAAAAATAATACGTACACACAATATGAAAAGGGACAGGGAAAAACTGATAATAATCATAGCACGTTGCCGGCGTGGGCAAATGGAAAATGTGCGGCGTGTCATAAATTAATTTTCGGAAAATTCAATAGCTTGTCCGCAACCGAATCCAAACTCAACAACGTATTCCAATCCAGATGCCTATTAATAATAATAATGCCATGTCGTTTTGATGGACAGTCAGTGTGAGGCGTTGCACAAAGGATTTCTCTCTGGCTTTTCACCAAGGACGAGGTGTGCACCGGTAAAAGCGGCGAGAGGGGGGTGGGGGGGGGGCAGTCTCTTATCAAAAGCGAAGCACTTTCATTGAAGTTTTGGGGGTTGAAAGGCTTCGCATTGCGGCCGCAGGAAGCGAAGCCATGAAAAAGCTTTTTGAAAATTATGCAAAAATCATGATTCGGCACTTTTCATTATGCGCCCAGCTAATTAGCTATTCAGTCGAGTGCGCAGAGCTCTGGGAAAAATTGCTGAAAAACTGTTGGCAGCATTTGCCGTTTGCCGCAGTTACCACATAAAAGGTTTCCCAAAGCATCTTACGAATCAATCCTTTGGATCTAGGCGCATGATGACTGAGTCACCCTTCCGATTAACGAGCCGAATCTTAAGGCAGGGTGCTGGTTCGAACCATGAATCGAATCAATGACAATTTACAGTGCTTGCAGAACTGATAATCATTTCGACTATAAGCCGGAAATACTATCTTGCAATCCCCTCCAGTCGGATGTGGGGCTATTGCATCGTTGCTTCTAAGTATTTTGTGCTTGTGTGTGGCATTTGTTACTACTTACTACTAATTAAATCTTCAAAGCTGTTAACTAAGCACTTCCAACAGGGTTCAGTGTAGACGCATAGTCACGCCTAAGGAATTACAAGGTGGAGTCTAAGTTCAAAGACTTTGAGCCTCTGTTAGTCGAGACGACATGCCTAATCAATTATGGGTTTATGATAAGTGCAAAGTCTTGGAGACTACAATTTCGAGTCAAGTGACAAGTTAAGTTAGGAGCAGTTATCGCAGACGCAACTCCGACAACGGACAAGCTGGTTGGTTTATAAAGCGCAGTAGATATGCTGGGAATATTCGACAGACCCTACGCCGATCCCGTTCGGCTGCCTTTGGCCAACGGACCAGGGCCCATTCTGACCATAGTGTTTGTCTATTTGCTCTTCGTGCTAAGGCTGGGCCCATGGCTTATGGCGAACCGTAAGCCCTACCAGCTGCGTGCTGTCCTGAAGGTCTATAATGTCATCCAAATCCTGTACAACAGCCTGTTCTTCGTGATCGTAAGTGCAGTCGTAATTATACGGGCTAATCTTGGCAATTAATTTATGATGCATCGTTTCCACAGAGCATGGAATTTATTCTCGTGGATCAGGCATATGACTTTAACTGCCTCACGATTCTGCCGCCGGAGCACGAGAAGAAGAACATGGAACGAGTGCTCGTCTATGCGTACTATTTGAACAAAATACTCGATCTGATGGACACCATCTTCTTTGTCGTACGCAAGAGCTACAAACAGATAACGATGCTGCATCTGATCCATCATGTCTATATGCCAACGGCTGGTTATATACTGATACGATTCTTCGGTTATGGAGGGCACGTCATTGTAGTCGGACTGTTGAATGTCATCGTACATACCGTGATGTACACCTACTACTACCTCTCGGCCGAAAGCCCGGCTCTCAGGCAAAATCTCTGGTGGAAGCAGTACATCACCATCATGCAGATGGTCCAGTTCATACTCATGTTCCTCCACAGCATTTGGACCCTAGTGCAGCCCAACTGTAATGCAGATCGTCCAGTGATCTACTTGGTGCTAGCCGCTTCGAGTTTAATGCTCGTCATGTTTGCCAACTTCTACGCGCACGCCTACATACTGCCAAAAAGGAAGAAGCTAACAGATGAGAAGCGTAAATAAGTTAGTTGATATACGATTCATTGCTGCGGGTTCAGGTTAACACATATAGCCGTAAAGTAGGCTTAAGGTATATTTGTTAGCGAAAGGGGAACACAGAACCGCCCTTAATCCAAAAAAAATCGAAAATAAAGAATCTCTCGTAAACTCAAACTTGAATAAAAATTGTTACTGGGTGTAACCACAAAAGCAAAGTAGGCTTTAGCTTCAAAGCTGTACACGAAATTTTGAATTTACAAAACTTTTAACAGAATACACGATAAAAACGAGGTTTTAATTCGTATCCCTTGTTGTCAGACTTAAAATATAGAATGTTTCTAAAGTATTATTCACTGATATTGCACACACGTTTACATTTGCGTTTAAATATAATTAAAACAGAAATTGGATTAATCTCTAGATTATGCTCATTAATTTCGGCTAAGATTAGCTATCGTTATGTTTGACATATTCGACAGACCGCCTGCGGATCCCACGCGCTTCTTTCTCGCCTGCAGTCCCTGGCCCATGGTCCTCATAGTATCTTTTTATCTGCTCTTTGTGCTGAAGCTGGGGCGCCAGTTCATGGCAAAGCGGACGGCCTATGATCTTCGAGTCGTACTCAAGATATATAATCTGGTGCAGATCTTATACAATGGATTGGTATTCTTTGCGGTAAGTGTGATGTGAATCTAAAGATCAGATCTCTCTAGCTTACACAATTGCAGGCAATTTGTTATCTGACTGCGTTTAGGCCTCACAGCCTAGGCTGCATAACGGTGATGCCTCAGGACCATCCATTGAAGAACATAGATCGTCTGCTCTCCTATGCGTACTATATCAACAAGTACTTCGATTTACTGGACACCATTTTCATAGTGTTGCGAAAGAGCTATAAACAGATCTCGGGTCTGCATCTGCTGCATCACCTGTACATGCCCATCACGGGTTACTATGTGATCCGGTTCAACGGCTATGGTGGCCACCTTATAGTCATGGGTGTCCTCAATCTCTTCGTGCACGTTGTTATGTATAGCTACTACTACATCTCATCGCAGATACCGCCTGCAGAGCGGAGAATCTGGTGGAAGGAGTACATAACCATATTGCAGATGCTTCAGTTCCTGATTATATTTGCGCACAATATTTGGACATTAATGCAGCCAAGATGTGAGATTTCTCGAGTGCTAACCTATATGGTACTCTTCATGTCAGTTGCTATGTTTTTGATGTTTACCAACTTCTACACACACGCCTACATACTGCCTAAGAAGAAGAAGAAGAAGCAGAAAGAGGTGGCCTATGACTAAAGGTGAATAAAAAATATAATTATATTCAATTACATTATATCTTTCCTTTTCAGAGTTAGATACAGGGTTTGGCGCTTAACTAAATTATATTCGTATAAGTTGTAGGTTTTAAATAAACACGCAAGTCTTAGCATAATATCTGACTACTTTCAGTGCTTCGTTTTTGGTAAACGTAAGTCTCATTGAAAGAGAAACACAAGGTTTGTGATAACGCAACTCTCCGATCGAACAGTAGCAAAGCGCAAAGCAAAATATATATCGTATATTTATATCAATATATTCTAAATGTCTCTTGTTATTCGGCTCAACTTGATCTTAAACTGTAAATAAACTTTCATTGTAACTTAGCTCAAAAGCTGATATTTCAGCAATTTCATATATGAATAAGTCACATAGGCTTGGTATTTAATACAGGGTGTTGAAAAAACAAAAGCTAAATGTTTTTATACATTCGTGAAGTTAAATGTTAGAGCCTGATTCCAGTATGTTTTAAATATGTTACATTTACGAACTTCACATTCTGGGATTCCATTAGCAAGTGTCAGTTGTCGGTAACATGTCAATGGTAAAAGTAACGCTTCTTTGAATAAACAGCAAACAAAACGGCCTCGGAGTAGGGGCTCCATTTAATGGACTCCTTGCGAGACTTGGCCATCTTTAAATGTTAAATGTTTCTTATGGGAAAACGTACAAGCAACATAATTGACATTATCAAAAAATGTAAGAAATGTTGACAGTGAAATAAGGCTAAATAAAGAATACGCGGCGATATGCTGTGTTCCATGTTCCTCAAGTTAAGTATTCAAGATTGAAACAAATTTAAGATATGTAAACATAATCAAATAACATCGGATGTTAACTTCTGCCTCACCCTGTATTCACTAATGAGGAATTATTTAATAGGATTCAAAGCGAGTGTACAATGTGCACTGAATTTCCGAATTCTATTTAGCAGCAGAGTGGAATTTGAAGAACAAACCAATTAAACTGAAAACTAGTCGTAACACAACTTTTACATCGAGCAACCGCAAATTCGGAAGGTTGTAAAAAGCACAAATAATTATCGCTATGTTTGAGGTTTTCAATAGGCCGCCTGCAGATCCCGTCCAGCTTCCACTGGCTGTTGGCCCATGGCCAGTGATTTTAATAGTGACTGGCTATCTGCTTTTTGTGCTTAAGCTGGGGCGCCTTTTCATGGCCAACCGAGCACCCTACGATCTTCGAGTCGTACTCAAGGTCTACAATTTGTTGCAAATCGTGTACAATAGCACTCTGTTTATGCTGGTAAGTGGGCTGCTCGATCGTTTTGAACTGATTTAACTGCTTTATACTACTACTTCCACTAATGCAGGCTATATACGTAATCTTTGTGGTAAGACCCTTTGACCTGAATTGTATAACAGTGCTGGCACAGGACAATCCCTTCAAGAGGGTGGAGCGCGTCCTGTCCTATGCGTACTATATCAACAAGTACTTCGATTTACTGGACACCATTTTCATAGTGTTGCGAAAGAGCTATAAACAGATCTCGTGTCTGCATCTGCTGCATCATCTGTACATGCCCATCACGGGTTACTTTGTGATTCGGTTCAACGGCTATGGTGGCCACCTCATAGTCGCGGGTGTCCTCAACCTCTTCGTGCACGTTGTGATGTATAGCTACTACTACATCTCATCGCAGATTCCGCCTGCAAAGCGGAGATTCTGGTGGAAGGAGTACATAACCATATTGCAGATGCTTCAGTTCGTGATTGTATTTGCGCACACCATTTGGACCCTAATGCAGCCAAAATGTGAGGTACCTAAGGCACTGACCCAAATGTCACTTCTGGCGGCGACTGCCCTGTTTTTGATGTTTGCCAACTTCTACACACACGCCTACATACTGGCCAAGCCGAAGAAGAAGCAGATCAATGACTAGAGGTGAATAATATAATTTATTTTTTGTGTGTTTTTTAATAATATTCAATTAAATCATCTTTCTGTTTTTCAGGGCTTAGTGCTGGGTTTGGGGCACAGCTAAATTTAATTTAATTTTAACTCGTAGCTTTTAAACAAACGTAACTGAGTTCTTAGCTTAATCGAATGATCAGGCCGCGGACTATTTTAAATACTTTAGCTTTGTCAAAACTAATCAATTAGTGACTCGGTAACGACATTAAAATTCTATATATTGTTTTTGGAATATCTTAGCCTGATCGGTATATATAGAGAAAAAGAAGCAAAAAAACTCTCCTTTCTCTGCAGCAGGTAGGTATTTAATCTTTGGCACCCGGAAGACAACTTTAGTCTCAACTTGAATTTAAACTGCAAATAAAATTGCATTGTAACTAAGCTAAATTGTTGAACTTTAGATATGTATACGTAGGCATACGTCTGGTATGTAAAGCACACGAAAAGGCGCATAATTAAAGGCAAATATTCACGTCAGGGGAATTATTCAGTAGGATTTGATGGTGCCCAATAAATTAAGCGAACGTGCAATGTGCACTAAATTTTCGAATTCTATTTGGCAACTGAATGGAATATAAAGAACAAATTAAATAAATTTAAAACTAGTCGTACCAGAACTTTTACATCGAACAACCGCAAATTCGGGACGTGGTAGAAAGCACAAATAATTATCGATATGTTTGAGGTTTTCAATAGGCCGCCTGCAGATCCCGTCCAGCTTCCACTGGCTGTTGGCCCATGGCCAGTGATTTTAATAGTGACTGGCTATCTGCTTTTTGTGCTTAAGCTGGGGCGCCTTTTCATGGCCAACCGAGCACCCTACGATCTTCGAGCCGTACTCAAGGTCTACAATTTGATACAAATCGTGTACAATGGCACTCTGTTCTTGCTGGTAAGTGGCCAGCCCGATCGACTTAATGCGCGTTCTATCTAATCTTTTGATGTGCTCTAATGCAGGCTACATTCGGCATCTTTGTGATAAGACCCTATGACATAGAATGTATAATGGTGTTGACACCGGACAATCCCTTTAAGAAAGTGGAGCGCGTCCTGGCCTATGCGTACTTCCTCAACAAGATACTCGACCTGCTGGACACCGTTTTCATAGTGCTGCGCAAGAACTACAGGCAGGCCTCGGTGCTGCACGTCGGGCACCACGCGGCCATGGTACTGGCCGTCTACAGTGGACTCCGATTCTATGGCTATGGTGGACATTTAGTGCTGACGGGCTATCTTAATGTGTTCGTGCATTGCGTGATGTACATCTACTATTACATATCGTCCCAGAGCCAGTCTGTGAAGCAGAACCGCTGGTGGAAGCAGTACATCACCATCATGCAAATGCTTCAATTCCTGATTGTGATAGCGCACAGTATTTGGACTTTAAATCAGCCCAGCTGTAAACTCTCCCTCTACCCAGTTGCCCTGGTTCTGTTCATGGGAACGGTCATGTTCATCATGTTCAGCAATTTCTATGTGCACACCTACATTCTGCCAAAGAAGAACAAGCAGGAGTGATTCCTAGCGTCGAGTTTTTATGGTATCTTCTTTCTAGTCGTATGCTCGAGCGCACTGTTTTATTAATTGGAATTAAAATAAAGTACAAATTTTGACACAATCCGGCCCAAATCGAAATTTCTTAATCAGAGCACATTTTTGGTTTTAGTCCCGAAACACCTTAATATTTACAAGATTTATAAACAATACTCAAACTATTTTGTAAACATAATAAAAATTTGCTTGAAATTAAAAAGAAAAACCATCTTGTTAATGACTAAGCACTTAATCTGCTTCCTGTCTTCCTTCCTAGCGTGTATATAGACTAAATTCTATATAGAATGGTTCATATAAAGCACGGCATGAATGCGATTCCATTCCCTTCCAGTGGAATTAGGAACTGCATTTTTCTTCGAGTGTTTCCTGGAATCCAGGCCTTGTGCATGCCCTTTAATGAGCCAACACAAAATGTTTTCTAGTAAATATGCAAAATGTAGCAATTAAGTCAAATGCACAGACAAATGACAAAGGCACAAGTACTTACGTATTCCCAGTATAAAGTAAAAAGAAGCTGCTTAAAACTCAAAAACTCGAAAGCAAACAACAAACGACGCGCACTCAAAAGATGAAACATAAAACGTAGCCCCAGAAGAAGACCATAAAAAAAAAGCAACAACAACAACAACAAAAAAAAAGTAAAAGAAAACCACATTGTGCCAGGGCGCACTTAAAAAGCAACCATCATCAGCTACCAGGCAGCAGCAGCAACCGCTGGGGGCACCTCCCAAACGGCATATGGGGACAGAAGTCTTCGGTCGGTCTCTCGACGAAATGCCATAAAAATTGCAACATAAAAATTAAACCACTAAACGCAGCGAAATTGCGGGCTTTGGGGGCGCTGATAATGTGCCCAGTTGAGTTAAGTTCAGTGTGTGCGTTTCTTTTTTTTTTTCTGTGTATACCCTAAAAGAAGGTATTCTACTTTTGGCATACCATGTGCCATTCTGAAGTCAATTTTCAGCGGCTGCGCACCTTTTTTAACTGAATAAATAGCTTCGGTGCTTGCAGTCCGATCGTAAAAAAATGTTAAGGCCCAACTGAGTGTATATACCAAAGCGCAAGGTGTCAGACTTATAATTAAAGCTCGACAAAAACAAGTATCTTTCCAATTCTTTAATACATCTAATTATGAAAATTAAATGCTAAAAGCCTAATTAGAATACACAATTTTCTAATAGCATCACCCACCGCTGGAGGTGTTTTATTTGCCCGTCCGGCTAACTATCCCCCTTTTCACAGCTAATTTTGACACTGACTTTATTAGAGCCAAAAACTTAGAAGGAAGGTGTTAGTAGAGAAAATAGTATTTTTAAGTAAAAATTAAGAATAATCTTAATTTACTATATTATTTAAGAAAATACAATTAATAGGAAAAAGAGAACGAAAAAAGTTATTAATAAAGTAAGGAAATTTATACTAGATAATTGAGTATTATTAGTAGTATGTATACAAGAAAATAAATATTCCTAATCTGTGCTAAGTGAAAACCAACATACCAAGTTAGGAGCCTATTGGTCTTATAATCTTCGAATGAATCTTGGAAAATCATATCCCAAGATGGATTTGTTTTCTATAAACTATTAGGCCTTAGACCTTGTGTATTCCTCAGTATAGGTTTATTTTCAGCTCTCATTAAGGGTATTCACTCTTCGACTTTTTTATGATAAGTAGCTGTTGTTTTCTTTTCTGTATTTAATTTTTGCTGTTGACTTTGACTTTGGAGTTGTTGAGAGAGTACAGCAAGCAGTTCATAACGCGACCCGCAGTTAGTTGTTTTCAGTTGTTTTGAGTCACCCTCACGTACGGGGGGCAGCTGCTGCTGCTGCTGCTGCTGCTGCTGCTGCTGTTGCGATTTAGGTAATGATATTCAATAATAATACGAGAGTACATGCGCAAATTTCAAATATCGCATAATAAAAAGCACTTGCGTCGCGCTAAGCAGCCGACTCTTTCAGCATTTCAGACATGCTTCGACTGCGCCTTTAGAATTTAATGTGCTTATAATGCCGCCTGCTGGCACTTGAGCCCATTTCCCACCCATGGCCGAGCAGAGCCCATACCGAGTTTCAGTCTTGAATCCGATACCAATTCGCATCCGACTCGTCGCACACACGTTCACGTAATTGTAAGCGCAACCCTCGTCGCAATTTCTGGCTCTTTAACGGCAAATGATGTCAATTCCAATGCGAGGCAGTCCCTGACCGGGTCTCAGTCCCAGTCCCCATTCTATCTCTAAATATGCTCATCGCGTTTTTCCTATTCTATCGAAAATTGAACTTAATTGGTGCGTGAAGTGTGCGCACTGAGAGGATTCCATCTAATGCTGCCAGGCAACTAAATATTCCCGTCTGCCACTCCCCGTTTGCCAGGACACACACAGCCCAAATCCCTGATAGGCCTCATTATAATTCGCCAGCGAGCAGAAGGCAACGTCGGCAATCAAATTGGACAGCGACCCACATTCGAAGGGGATAGCCCAATAAACAATAATATAATGCGATAATTAAAACTTTTGTTGCTACATTGAACGAGATCTAATCAAAAACATACCCCAGCAACGCCGAGTAACCTCTTGATATGGAAAGAATTATAACAAATGCAGACCCTATAAGGAATACATTTTATTGATCAGACTGTCTGTTTCTTAAGCCTGTCAACTCTGAAAAAAACAGCCTTCCTTTGTCCATGTCGACCGAAACGGACGACCATATTATCAACATGGGACCTCTATAATAAACAGCTCTATAGAAAGAATCGGTCATAGGTGTGGTTTTTCAAAATATTATCTTAAACAGTTATTGAGAACTTTAATCAGAAGAGTTCTAGTAAGAATATATCTGATAGCTCTAGTTCAACTATTGAAATAATAATCTTCCTTATATAATCTTCCTTTTTCAAGATGTTCTAACTATGCCGGGCAGCTTACGAGCATTACCTGAACCTTTTGACTAAACCCCTTTCGAATATCGAGCACCAAATCATATTCATTGCCAACTTCTTGACGATAACTTGAACCACCTTATCAAATGCTACGCGTGTCGCAGGGTATTTAATCTTCGACAGACTGTTTTTTTCTCATATCGCTAGGTTTTCCCTTTAAAGCATTCTCAGCTAGTTATCTCAAGATCACATAGTTATTTTACAAAGAAAAAAACTCGGAGTTTACAAGGATTTCAAATTTCACAAGAAATACTCAAATTAAATATTCAAGTTTGGAGTGTTACAAAGCGACCCTCGTGCTCCGAGCAGGCATCCCAACTGATTAGCATAAATTCGTCTATGTCTATGTTGCTGGAAATGTTGTTGTGGTTGTTGTTGCTGTTGCTGTTGTTGTCGTCTTTTGTCAACGTGTCTGGCATGGCAAGCAAAAAGTTTAGCAGCCAAATGCAGACAGGCACGGACTACTAGGAGTAGGATCTTGGTCTTGGGCTGAGGCTTGTCTTGGCCTGTCACTGCGACTGGGACTGGGACTGAGACTGGGGCTTGGCCTGGCTTGGCTGTGGCTGCTGCCACATGGAAACATGTGTCACTGAGGGCTGTCTACTTATTGCACGACTAATGTCAGTTGCACTGGCTGCCCCTCTGGCTGGCTCTGGCTCTGGCTGTGGCTCTGGCTCTGGCTCTGGCTGCCAGTCAACAAAAGGTAGCAAGCAAACTTCCTGGCACACAAAAAGCTTTTTAAACTGCAAAATGCAGCTGATGGAATTTCTTTAGGGGTTGCAACTAAGTTGGGGTGTGGCATGACGGGGGGCGGAGGGAAGTTGGAAAACTGGGCTGTGGTTTGCCATTCAAGCGCAAATTATTTCCAAGCCGTTGACATCGCTGGGTGAAGGACGTGCCTGTCGGCCTGAAGGCGATTCCCAGCCTAAGTAGTTTCTCAACTTGTTCCTTGTTCCAGGTCTGCTGTCTCTCTCTCTCACTCTCTCACTCTCTCTCTCTCTCTGTTTCCCTCTCTCTGAATAGGTTCACTCATTTGGCAGGTTTTCTATAATGGCCTCTGCCAGTCTGCCACTCGCTTCCTTTCTAATATTGCTTGGCATTTTGCATTACAATCGGCCCCGACAGCTGCGGATCGAGCCCGGTTTTCCACCCAAGTTCCAGCGCTGCATTATCTCACGCATTGCATCAATTTCTCATAGCCAACGCCTCCTGGCTGATATCTCTTCAGGACTGTCGGCAATCTAATTAACGCAGTTTGTCTTTGGCCCCGGGCCCCAAAGGAATATCGTGTGCCCGCTCATCAATTGCTTTTGCCGGTTATTTTATTTTCGTGCTGCAGACAAAGTTCTGCAACGACTCCTAATCATATTTTAGTGCAGCCCAACTAATTGTGGCTGCGGTTGACAGACAAACAGGGCAAACGCAAACGCTGCCAAACACTGAAAATACTCTGAAAAAGGCAAAGCAATTTACACCTCAACTCTGTAAAATTCACAAGACATTGTAAAACACAAGTGATAAATGTCATAACGACCATTGAACGCTCTGCAATTGATTTGCATACAAAATATGCTAGCCGATAAATCTGAACAAATGCGATGATATGTCTAGAGAATGTTGGGAAAGAAGTAAAGAAGAGCTTTTCAAACCAAAAGTTCCCAAAGTGAATAGAGCCTTGGAATACTGGAATAATTAACCTGATCTGGGATCAGTTACACAAAAATAAAGTTTCTGTTTAAATATAAAAAATATTTTCTTTAAGGGGGTTCGATATCTAAAATTCCGTGCAACTGATGCAGCGTATAGACCAGTTATTACCAGTTTTTACCAATCTGCATAAAATATTCACATGTCTCTTGTACGCTCACACAACTAAGACAGCCGCTCTTTATAGAGCATTCGGGCATAAGAAGCGTAGCCAGAACTCTAAAGACGTGTTAATGAAGCAGACATGCGGGCCAGAACCTGGGCCAAGTCGTGGTCTTGGTCGTGGTCTCTGGGTCTTGGTCTTGGTCTTGGTGTTGGTCTTCCTCATCGGCTGAATGAATTTGTATAACTTGCAAATCATGTTGACTGACGAGCCAGAGCGGGAATAGCGCTGCGTCTGTCTGGAAATGGGACTGGGACTGAGCAGGAGAGAGAGGGTGAGGACAAAACTTTCAAAGTGTTGAACGCAGCGAGTGAAACATATTGTGCCATATATATTATGAAAATGTGTGTCTGAGGTCCCATAAAGTGGAAATAGGCAAGGCGGGGCAAGGGGCAGCCGGGCAGCGGGGCAGCAGTTGGCTGTTCTACTAAATCAACATCATTAAGTTTTCTGTTTATAAAGAAAACACTCGAGAGCATTGTGCGAAGTCTTTTTACTTGCTGCTTTTTAGATGCCCTATAAAAATAGGCTGCAAAAGGGTATATTGCGGTGTCAGTCAGAAAGAGACATATATATATATGTATATGTATATATATATATTCTTGACAGACAAGTCGTTAAGCTGAAAAGTTCCCATTATATATAACACAAAGATCAAGTAAATAAACTTATTTATCCGAAATCGATATATATCGCTTATTGTCTAGGTTTTTCGAGCACATCTCTCAGAGTTTCAGAGCTAGAATACACACATATTAATGTCATCTTTAAGCCCTGAACATTTGCATACAATCAAAGAATTAACACAGAAGTTATGTTAGAATGAATTTTGGATATTGATCTGGCATCGAGGGTATAAGCTAGTCGGGCACAGGAGTCTTGCTGTTTGTTGTTGTCTTATTATATCTCCTTTCATGTTCACTTGTTCAGCTTGTGTTTATGTATTTGCCGTTGTCGATGATGCGATCTCTGTGCTATCTTAGGCGGGTTCGAGCCAAACGAGCGACAAGGAAGGAAGTTCCGCCGCCAGTTGGCACTCCAAGAAGCAAAGTGTTGAACACAAATTAGTATTGAACTCAGCTAAGCCGACCCAAGCCAAAGCAAGAGTGAAGAGTTTTTCCAGCATATTTGCTTAGCCATTTTAAGCGAACTGCATTCACAAGTTGCTCAGTTCAGGTGAAGTGAGGTGAGGTGAGGTGAGGCCGAGCACATGCATTATGTATGTCGAGCGGCGGGCCAAACGAAATGTGAAAGAAAAAGCAGAAAATAAACAACAAAGTCACGAAATTGTGTTGCTCAACAAATAAAAGACGAGACACTGCAATGGAACAGCAAAAGTATCTTAAAGATACAAATAGCCAGATTTGAGCAGGGCTACCCGGCTCGACAGGATGTGACTGCGTCCGCATCCTAGCAGCAATACGAATAGATACTCGTAACGCTCAAGCATCCAGCTCAAATTACAAGCGGGCAAATGTTTAAATACTTGAGTGCCCCACCACACAGTGCAGCATATTAACTTTTACTTTGCCTCTCTTTACTTTGTCAACACAACAATTCACTTAAGACTGAGTCTCCGTTGTTGCTGTTGTTGTTGTTGTGGTTGCCGCCAGTTGCAAGTTGTCAGTTGCAAGCTGTCAACTTGGTGGCTGCCGCAGCAACAGCAGCAGCAGATATCTTATTGCACACGAGACAAGCAGCCCACGTAAAAGGCGCCAGTGCAATAAACGGAAATAGCAAAGCGGGCAAGGCAAAAGTTAAGATGCTCAGAACTATCAAATTGCCCCGATTAGGAATCTATTTATAGGTCAGACTCCTTACATTCCCAGTTGTATAAGCAGAAATAGAATATTAATTGAACAGGATTCGGTTCCTAGGCTAGGCAGTGCTACACTAGGATATACCTTAAGTCCAGCCCCGAACTGCCGATACACACACAAATACCCCAAATAACACACACAAAACGTTGGCTTCCTCTTTCTTTTGCTATGGAAAATGTGCTCTTGATTAACTTCGGTGTTCATAGTCCGATCTATGTGACATTTTCAAGATTTAAATAATGCATAGAAAAATATGCATATACCCAAGCGCAAGACTCTACCCTTAAGAATTCTTCATCTGTATAAACTATGCGAAAACCAACAAGTTCTGAAAAACTATGACTCGAAATAAATATGTATCAATGCATTAAAAATGGGAGGAGATCTTAACAAGAAAACGATAAACTTATTCTGCAAATGTACGGGATTGCCGTAAAATCCACCCCAACAAAATAAGAGTCGCACAGAGTAAGATTCTTAGTTGGATATGTAACATAACGCTGCTGGGTATATGCGTGCTAGGGACATCAAGAGAGAGACCTAGGAGCCAATCCGTCAAAAGATACTTTGAGCGTCTTCGCTCCCATCCCAACCCGCTAGCAAGGTGCATTGCCTCTCTTGGTAGAACAAGAATTAGGTGCCCCATTTCTGGGGGTTGTCTATCTAGGGCAAGAAAGAGAAGACTCAAAGAGGATCTACCTGATAGGATTCTCTAAGACAAAACTCATTGATATCATCTGCAGAATTCAAAACTTTTCGGTTTATAGCCTTAACCTTGTATACCTTAGGCTAATTAGCAGTAAGTCTTGTTAAATTTCTTATTCCCGTATATAGCTAGCTTAAGCTGCCAATATTAGGTAGTAGTGAACTTGTTAATAATCTCTATATATAAAACTGTTTGTCCTGACTGACTGACTGACTGATTGGTGATCAACGCACAGCCCAAACCGTAAGAGCTAGGAAGCTGAAATTTTCACTGTAGCTACCTTATGTGATGTAGGTGCACGTTAAGACGGGGTTTCGGGAAATTCCACCCGCAAGTGTGGCAAAATCGCGAAAAACGTTTGTATGTAACTTTTTTGTTTACCATCCGATCGGCCTCAGACTTATTTTCAAAGATCTTTGTTCAAATTCATTTGAGGGATGTTTCACACCTTTGGGAAAATCCATTCCTCCTTGGTGGAAATGGACGTCAAAGATTTGGTGGGTGACGTTTCGCGCTCAAATTCATTTCCAGAGATCTATAAGAAAAATCATTTGAGACGTGTTTCACACTTTTCGCAGAATTCAAACTTCTTCGGGGGGAATGCGATTTAAAGATTTTTTGGGCGAAGTTTTAAGTTGTGTCCGATTTGCTTCAAACTTATTTTCAAAGCTCTACCTAAGAACTTATTTAATACGTATTTCAGCGATTTGGGAAATTCCACCCGCAACAGCGGAAAACGGTTGTATGAAAGTTTTTTGTTTACCATCCGATCGGCCCCAAACTCATTTTCATAGATCTTTGTTCAAATTCATTTGAGGGATGTTTCACACCTTTGGGAAAATCCATTCCTCCTTGGTGGAAATGGAGGTCAAAGATTTGGTGGGTGACGTTTCGCGCTCAAATTCATTTCCAAAGATCTATAAGAAAAATCATTTGAGACGAGTTTCACATTTTTCGCAAAATCTAAACTCCTTTGGGGGAAAATGCATTTCAAAGATTTTTTTTGGCAAGGCCGGGTTATAGCCGCTAGTATACATATATATATATATATATATATCCAAAATGCTTCCTTCTGCCTGCAAAACCCCCTTTTTAAGCATTTAAATGGGTTCAGGGCATAAAAACAATATGAAATATGATTACACTCGCGGCAGCGCCCTCTGTTGCTTAAAAGCAGCACAGCCAAAGTGCAGCGCCATACACAATTGCGGTAATTTACTACGGACAGCAATTATAACAGTTTTTACTGGTGCATACTTTCAGGCATAATTTATATTGATATTTATATTTGCTTGAAATTCTCAAAAACTTCTTAAGTACTTGCTGAAAGTACCCGAAACTGCAAAAGAGAAAACTGTTTGCACAGCAAATGTAACGAAAATTCGAAAATTTTATTTAAGAAAATATTTTAAAGAACTTCGAACAACAAATAAAAAGAAATCAAATGTTTTTCAGAACTTTAGAGCTTCAACTAATCAGCGGAACAAACATGCATATAATTATATTGAATATGGTTTAAGAAAATGTCCACTTCCATGTCTATCATTTCAGCCATAGCTGCATAACACAGTCGACTCTCTAGCAATATGGTAAGTTGAACTAAAGGAGCTAGTTAGCGGCCACTAATGGAGTTTCCTCTTCAATATTTGACAGCGTGTCATAATAATTTTGGTGCTGTGCCTGCTGCTGCTCCAAGTCCTGGGAGAGGACGAGGCTATGACTAAGGCCAAGGGCAAGGCTAAGGGTAAGGGCAAACCGAAGCCGAAGCCAAAAGGGATTTCCACGACAACTGTCCCCCCGACAACAGAAACTCCGCCCTTTTTCAAATATTGTGAGACGATTTTCAGGTGGAACTTTTTGGATTATGAGGTGATTAAGGCCATTGTGAAGGCTATTACGGAACGCCTGGACTCGGTATGCAATGTAACCGAAATGCAGCCCCTCGTGCCCACCATTGTAGCCGGCAATCTGTATTGCGGCACCGATCTGCCGACTACCATTGATTTGCTACTAGACTACATTTTAGATAAGGTCGAACGCAGTTGCCAGAAACTGAAGGGTTTCCACAGCCTTTTCATATATACGAGCGACCTATAAGCCGGAAATTTCAGTTTCATTTCTCAAATTCAAAAATTGCTTATAGCAGAGACAATTTGTCACAAAAAATAAATCAAATGGCTTCCTTTCAAATGCGAATCGGTGTGTCGAAACCGGAATCGAACCACAAAACTGGGTTACTGTGAACTGTGGACTCGAACCAGCGACTTTTCCTATTTTGAAATTGAACAGTTGACGAATATATTGCCGGCTTCTTTTCAAATGCGAATCGGTGTGTCGAAACCGGATTCGAACCGCAAAACAGGGTTTCTGTGAACTGTGGACTCGAACCAGCGACTTTTCTTATTTTGAAATTGAAAACATTGGGCAGGTTTTTGACGGCTTCCTTTCAAATGCGAATCCGTGTGTCGAAACAGGATTCTGTGAACTCGAACCAGCGACTTTTCTTATTTTGAAATTAAACAATTGACAAATATATTGCCGGCTTCCTTTCAAATGCGAATCAGTGTGACGCAACAGGAATCGAACCACAAAACTGGGTTACTGTGAACTGTTGACTCGAACCAGCGACTTTTCCTATTTTGAAATTGAACAATTGACGAATTTATTGCCGGCTTCTTTTCAAATGCGAATCCGTGTGTCGAAACCGGATTCAAACCACAAAACTGGGTTTCCGTGAACTGTGGACTCGAACCAGCGGCTTTTCTTATTTTGAAATTAAACAGTGGACAAATTTATTGCCGCTCAACTATGGTTTTAGGTTGAATCGAATTACATAGCGTGCTGCTGCAACTCATCGGAATATACCTCCAGAGTGCGCTTAAAGTTCTTCAGTAGCTGCAAGTCCCTGGCCCTGCGTTCCCCAGACGGATCGCTGGCGGGCAGGATGGCTTCTAGCAGAATGGGCACAATCTGCTCGCCCACCGATTGAAAGAGTTGCGCTAACTTGATGATTGTTGCGGGATCGGGCAGGCCCGGGATGCCACGTTCAGCCATCTGGCTGGCATCGCGACGCCGTCGTCGTAGTCCGCGGCCATCATCCGAATCCTCAACGGTTTCCTCCGAAGAGGAATCATCGTCGTCATCGCCATCGCCCTGAGCTTTGTTCATGCCATCGCCATCATTCTCAGGCTCCTAAGTTCGAATGGTTTTTGTTAATTAAGAGCTGCTCTCTGCTCTAGTTTATATTACCTTTGGCCGGGCCTCGGTCGGGCTAATGCACAGCTGCAGCAGCAGGATGAGCGCTGCAAAGAGCAGCTGATGTCCCACATGGATTGCCATTGAACTTGCGATCTGTCAGACTGGACAGCCACATTTATAGGCCCCAGTCGCGGCTTTGTTTTAATGGGATTAATTTCAATGGGCTTTGCATGTCACAAAATGCCATCAAATTGATCAATTTGCGTACTTTGAATTAAAGTTAGGGCTGAATATTTGCTGGCACGTTGACGGCACAGTTTTTGACCATGTTAAAAGGTCAACAAGAAGAACCCACCAGTTCGAACTTGAAAGCATCAAACTCCAAAATGTATTTGCTTCTCTTTTTTGGTCATGGAATGCGCCAACGAGTGCAGTTTTTGTGCACAGTCCGGGCCCAGCCCAGATCAGAAAAGCAAACAAAAGAAGAAAGCAATGTTTTTAATGGACAGCCGACTAGTGAATACCCTCACGGGCATATTCGATTTAGTTCTGCGACTCCTTTATCAATACAGCTTGAGCCTGAGCAACAAAATATTATAGAAACTCAAGATCATCATCTGTTTATACTGACGAACGCATTGATGAAGCTTAGAAGCTCTTAATTATTGCCTAAGCTTCATTTTAAGTGTCCAAGCGTCGGACTAGCCAGTGGAAGGTTGCCGGTTCAAATTCAGCAATAATATTATATTTTTGTATTTGTTTATTTTATTTGTTATTATTCGCAGAGATGTAGACGCGAAACACGAACAATTCCGAACGACACCAAATAATTTCTTCTGAGATATATAGAGAAAGAGAAAGAGAGAGAGACGGGGAGAGAAAGATATATAATATACATATATGCATTATGAGTTTGAAGCTCTTTCAGTGCTTTAAACAAATCCATTGTCAAAATCGTAATACCCGCTGCAAGGGTATAGACAGTCAGCCGCCAAGCGGTCAACAACTTTGGCGATTCGCACATTCTCAGGTAAGATGCGATGCGACTCGACGCGACTCCAGTTCGCTTCATTGGGACCAGGTAGTTTGTGGCCGGCAATTGCCGCGGGCACATAAATTGTAATTTAAGCGTGCGCCTGCCTTTGTAGATGTGGGAATATTATTATTAAATCAAATGCGGCTGCTGCAACGGCAGCAGCAGCAACAGCCACATTGTTGACAACGCAGTTGATTGGAATCGAGAGTTGTTTGAGACTCGGTCGCAGATGCAGTTTCAGTTTTGATTGAGACCCGCTTTCGGACAGTCAGCGAAGGCGGAAAGAAACGCAAACTCTAAAAATAGTGCCGATTTTTTTAAAGCCAGTGAAATTAGGTGAACAAATAAAATACGGTATCCAAAGATTTAAAACATATCTGGACTTCAACTTCAACTTGCTATGAAATAAATTATTAAAAATTATTCAACATACAATTTTAAAAGTTAACCACCCATCTTTTCAGTTACTGTTATACACAAAGTTTATATAAAAATATATTCTTTGAAATACCTGCATTAAAATGAATTTGTTTTCGCGCCTTAAACACATTGGAACTGCTAACAAGGTGAGACACGTGGCAATATATATTACTTATATTGAGTTACAACTTTGAAAATTGCCGCGCACGCTGTTGGTGTTGCCACATTATACGCCGCCTATGGTAAGGGCCACTTAACAGACTTGCTCAGCTCATAACAGAAGCTCCTCCAACTAACAACATATGCTTCGATAATATCATTTAACAACATTTTTTTTTGCAGAGTTCGGTGACACTGCCTGTTACAGTTGCTGGTAAGTAATCAAAGTATTTGCTTGAATCGTTTTTAATTTAATTTGCAGCATTGTCTAGAAGTTTTTATCAAACCTAACAGCGCAATGTTAATTGCATGCTCTCTGTCAGTAACAGTACAGCTACTGTAAATGTAATAGCTGCTGTTATGTTACCTAACATTTTCAACAGGCCATACTCATAGAAACTTTTTTGCAATTAACTCGCACAGTTGTCGCACAAAACCAAGAAGCAGTAGCCGAGTCTACGGAGGTTTACAAAGTAATTGCAGAAGAAAGATTGCCAGCACATAACAAAAACAATCAAGAAGGTATGTATGAAATTTAAAGCCATTGTCTAAAGCCAGTGCATACGCCCATTGGCTGATGTAACACAATCCACAGATGTCTGCATTTAATGTGAAAAATGTGGGTGGGGTGTGTGTGTGTGTGTGTGTGTGTGTGGATATGTAGATGTGTGAGAGCCTGTGCTGTGCGTATGTGGTCTTATCAAGAATGCGTCTAGGGAAAGGAAATGTGTTGCATGTATTGATTTTCCATTAATAAAAAAAAGCACAGCTCAAAACGAAGAAATGTGAAGCGAGTGACGTCAGCAAAGCGTCGCTCGACTTAAAGGGGAAAATGTTAGGGAATTACAGAAAATGAAAGGGAATTACAGAACTTAAAATGTAAATGAAGTGAAAGCAGATAGTTTATAGAAATATGCTCGGAATTCGCACAAAATTTCATGAACGTGTCTGTAAAATGACTTAACCTCGAATGCGAAAAAATGCACGCGTCGATCTTACAAGTGATGCCAACATTTGAGGAACAAAGAAAAAAGCTACTTCTAGCTGAATTTTATGTTAAGAATAAGCGGGAAAATAGCTACAATTGCTGCTCAGCGCGTTTTTTAAAATCGGATTCGACTGGAAATAGGCAGTACTGGCAACGCTAATCTGTTGGGGAAAAAAACTCGCTCATACACACACACACGCACACAGACACAAATTCAATTGATGCTAATGAATGGCAATTTCCGTTATTTGCTTTAATCAACAGCTTTAGCAGTCGAGATGGTAAAAGAAGAGAGTTTTGTAGCCGATGGCGCCGATGAGGAAATGTTGGGCACCGGCGCAGCCGATGAAAAGCTAGCGGAGCGTCGAGACGAGGTCAAATTTATCAAGGGAGATCATCAAAATGGCGATGCGAAGATAGATATTGGGAATCTCAACGGCGGCAAGCAGGTGAGTGCGAGAAGGGATAAAAAGAGAGAGAGAGAGACGTTGAGACTCACCCAAAAATTCAAATTTCCACAGTCCTTCACTGGCATGAGCAAGGAGGAGCTGCTGAAGTACGCCAACGATCCGTTCTGGGTGCGTTTGCGCTGGATATTCTTTGTTTGCTTCTGGGCCATTTGGGTGGGCATGCTGGTGGGCGCCATACTGATCATAATTGGAGCACCCAAGTGTGCCGCACCACAGCCACTGCCCTGGTACAAGCGGGGACTACACGCCAAATTTGGCCATGTTGCCGATTTCAAGCCGGAGGATGTTCAAGCCGCCCAAAAACTATTTGCATCGGGTGCCATTTACGAGCTGCCTGCCGGGCAGACGTACGAGGTCAAGAAACCCGATGTGGAGGCACAAATCAAACAGCTCGTGGATCTCTACAAGCCAACCGACATCAAGATTATACTCGACCTGACTCCCAACTATGTGAGCAACAGCTCCCAGCTAATGCGCGATGCCTTGGCCAATGAGGAGCAGCGCGCCGCATTCGTGTGGGTGAAAGCCGCGGGCAACGAGCCGCCAAATAACTGGAAGAAGGTGGGCGGCAACAGCAGCGCTTGGACGCAACTGGAGGGCAGCTATGTGCTGTCACAGTTCGAGGAAGGCAACTATGATCTGAAGATGAACTCGACGCTGGTGCGACGAGAACTTGGCGGCGTGCTACAACATCTGGTTGGACTAGGTGTGCAGGGCTTCCGCCTGAAGAATACCAAATTCTATCTGATCAACGATAACCTGGCCGACGAGGAGATCTCGCATACCACCAAGGAGCTCAACATGGTAGACTACGGCTTCTATACGCACAGCCAGACCACATTCCAGAGCGGATTAGGCGATGTGCTCTACGACTATTTGGGCATGGTGAAAAATGTCTCAGCTGATGCATTCCTCTCGGTGGCCGAGGATATTATACGGCCCGAGGCCTACGTGCTGAGCCAAGCGGGCGGCGCTCTGGGCATTGATCTGCCCATGTATGGCGAGTTCATACGTACGCTCAGCTCCTCCAAGACAAACAAGAAGCTGCAGCAACAGCTACAGCAGACATTCATGGACACCGCCAACACTAGCTGGCTGCAGTGGAACTTTGCCGATGTCTACGTGGACACATCCTCCCATCCGTCCGCACTGGCCCTGTTCATGTCCCTGCTGCCCGGCGTGCCTGTTGTGCCCGTCGACTCCATAGAGTATGCAAATGTCAGTGAACCGACCTACAGCCAAATCCAACAGCTGCGCCTCTCGCCCTCCTACATGCACGGCGAGCTGCAGGTCTTCGAGGTCGACCAGCTCATTGCCTACTCCAGGTAAGATAACCAAAACCCCAAGCACTCTATCAAATATATCTAAACTAATCCAACTTTTTCACTCTTCACGCTAACATTTTAAAGGCAAAGGTATTTCGGCATAATTAACTATAAACTCGGAATTTCTTTCATCTTATAATTAATTTGAGAGCAATTAATGTGAAAGAACTTTCTATTCAATTTATAGCAGAGACTTTCCTCGTCCTTTATTATAATTATCCCTGCCTAATTAGTACCATTCAGAAAGAACTTTGAATTCTAATTATCAGCTATATTTCATTAGATATTGTTGTGCCTTTTTTTTTAAATTTTTTTCCTTTTTCTCATATAATTTTCTAATCTCTTGACCATTTACAGAATCAAGTCTGGCAGTCCCGGTTTCTTTGTCATCTTTAATCCCACCGATTCGCCGCATTTAAGCAACTTTACCGCCGATCACAAGCTGCCCGACAAGATGACCGTCTCATATTTAAGTGAGAACTACAACAACAACAACGGCAATGCCACAAAGGTGGCACAGTCGACCAAGATCAATCTCAATGAGCTCCAGGTGGCACCGCACTCGACCATCGTTTTGACCTATGTTCCGGTCAAGAGCGAGTAAAAAACCAAGGATATTATATACATGTACAGTGAAAGCTCTTTGAGCGGAAAGACAGACGATGTTCGCCTAAAAGAGATGTCCAGCCAAATATTGAAAAACATACAAAATTTCGAAATTCTAAAAATGTATTCCAGATAGTTTTGAAAATATTCCTAATAAGCGGGAATTGAGCGAACTAATTGTATTAGAAAACTTGTTTGTTTACCAAAAGAAACTGTTCGTTAAACGGGCTTTCACTGTGCTATAACTATACAAAATAATGTATTAACTTTAAACGCTTGCTAAAACAAGTTCAAGTTGCGTAGAAAAAATACTCTTACCCAAAAAATATAAATGCGTAAATTGTTTTCTTAGCCGTTTGCTTGAAAATATAAAAAATAAATATTCACTGCTTGCATTTCAAAACAATTGTTTCATTTAACTGCACACATGGTCGAAGGCCGATGGGCAGCGTGGGATGCGCTAGAGAAACGTGCCATATGGGCAACGGGGTATTGCGTATATTAGAAAATTTCAAACAAATAGTTTTTTCCTTTTGGGATGTTCTGGGTATCTTTCCCGTGTGGCCAGAGAGTTCTCGAAACAAAACATTGGCAACGCCCAGAAGGGCGGCGAACACTGTTAAATTTTATGCAGAATCGCGTTGCCACGTTTCTTATTGTTTAATATATGAACGGCCACCTATGAGAATGTTCTTTGCGAGCTCATAAACAAAGGCTACCCCACCACTTACCCATGTAAAATCCTGGTAACACAAGACGTTCGCTGCGGCCGCCACGAAATGATAACAAACACAGGTTGCCTCGCAGCGCCTGCTGCGGTGAGCCGCCAGCGTCTATATGCTTGGGTCCCTTGTGTTTATAATTATATGCACCATTAACTATATTTAACACTGATTTGATTGCACAAAATCACTAATTTGCAGCACGCTTCTTATATGTAGTTGCACTTTACCGATTCTTTTTATCAGTTTGTTATGCAGGCCCACACACGACACAAATAATATAAGCACAGCTCCAAGCTTTTGTGCGATCATGCACGTGCTTGTTAGGTTTGACAAGTTGCGCTAAAATTGCTATGGCTGCTTTTAAACATAATTTTCTTAGCACTTGCTTACGCGGTGTTTGTTGTACATTCTCGTAAAATGTAGTTTTGGACACAATTTGTACGTCTGCAAAAATCATATGGTCTGCCGAGAGATAACACTGCACTGACATGTTATTAACAGCCAGCACTGTGCAGTAACAGCTGCTGTTATTGCACTGTTATTTTGCCAATCTATATATAGGTCAATATGCACATGCTTAGCCGAGACACACACCGCGTGCAAATTTTGAATTGCGCGCCCAACCGTCGGCAGTTTCCCAAACTACAAAATACTTTTAAATTTGTCTTCCTTTGTTGAAAACTTTGAACCACACGAAAGAAACTGCAACGCAATTGGCATACGTGAGTGTGCGTTTGGACGGAGGGGCGCCCAACTTTTGAGTTCCAAATAGTTGCCGAAAAGCCAGCAAAACAAAAGGCGAACGCAACCACAGACAAATAATCAAAATCGACAAAGCGAAATGAGGCAAAAACAAAGCGCCCAAAATGTTTTTAGTTTAGCTTAGGCAATGACAGCCTGGGGAGCTGCCCGGCCACAGGGCCAAAAGGATATGCGCACGTGCTAATGTGATTAGATACACACACGCACACACACTTGCCTCCGCTTGGGCAAGTTGTTAGAAGCAACCGCAACATGAAATGCAGTTGATTGCGGCAGACCAGCTACAACAACAACAACAGTGAAAACCTTGCCGTGAAGTGCAACCGACCGCGCAATGCTCTATGTATATCGATATATAGATATAGATATAGATATAGATATAGATATAGATATTGATATAGATATAGATATAGATATAGATATAGATATAGATATAGATATAGATATAGATATAGATATAGATATAGATATAGATATAGATATAGATATAGATATAGATATTGATATAGATATAGATATAGATATAGATATAGATATAGATATAGATATAGATATAGATATAGATATAGATATAGATATAGATATAGATATAGATATAGATATAGATATAGATATAGATATAGATATAGATATAGATATAGATATAGATATAGATATAGATATAGATATAGATATAGATATAGATATAGATATAGATATAGATATAGATATAGATATAGATATAGATATAGATATAGATATAGATATAGATATAGATATAGATATAGATATAGATATAGATATAGATATAGATAAAGATATAGATATAGATATAGATATAGATATAGATATAGATATAGATATATATATAGATATATAAGGATATAGATATGGATATAGATTCTAATATACCCTTTTCACCTTTTACACAGAGTATAATCAGAAAAACTTTAACATTTGTATCTGCGAGCTGTGAGATGCAAACTATTGTTGCGCAGGTCATCCTCATTATCTTCATCCTAAGCATCATCATCATCATCATCATCATCTTGGTAAACTTTTGGCTAGCACGCTGTGCATTTGTGCCTGCCCCAGCATCCGTAAGATACAGATACAACCGGCACTTGCACTTGCAATTATTCTGTCGCAGCAACTTTTCCATCAAACGCAGATGCCAAACAAACCCTGCCCCCTCGACCGGCCGCACTAATTTAATTGCAACATGCAACCCCCAACAGCAACCAGCGCCCGCAAGGCGCAAAGCTTAACCCATTAACAGCCCAAAATGGGAGTGCGTGGGGGAGGGGCGGGACATTCACCGGAAGTCTATATACAGATTATATCAAGTGTGATCTGTATAAGCTATGCCCATTAAAACTGGGAAAAATGGGGTTTGTTGCAGTGCTGCAAATGAATGTAACAGATCGAAGGCATATATATATATATATATATATTGCTGAGCAGCTGCAGATTTTAGATATAGCTACATATATCCTCTGTCTGTCTGCTTGAGCCCAACGAACTCAGAGACTGCAAGAGCTGGAGACTTTAAATTGGAATATAGTTTCTTGACTAACAGACAAAACAAGTTAATTTAACTTCTCACACACATTTTCGCAAGATCGATAAATATCGATTTAGGCATATCTCAGATACTGCAAGATCTGGAGACTTTGCAATTGGAATATACTTTCTTGACTATCGCACAAAACATGTTAATAATCGATAGCTCACACAAATTTTCCTAAGATCGATAAATATCGACGCTCAAAATAGGTTTTTTAAGCATATCTCGAGGAATATAATAGTTATAAATACCAAATTTGGTATGTGCACTTAATTGAATGCCAGATTTTAGCTCCTGAAAATGACATACGAATCGCATGAAAAACAAGGAAGTTATTTAAGAATAGATTTTTGGTATGGAATGGTAGGAAGCGTGTATTGGAGGCACCTCGGAATGCATGTTACGGCAGCTCGGAGCTGTGTACAGGGCATCTACTAGTCGCCCACCCGTTCTTTTCTATTAACTCAATTTTAAGTTTATTGAAGATTTTATAACACGGGGGTTAAAATAACAACAATAAAAAATGCCAAAATGTATATGCCACATATGCAGCACATGTTGTTGGTCAACAACAACAGCAACAACAACAAAAACAACAACAACCTCGCAGCTAATTTGTATCGATTTTTTATCGCGTTCGCATTTTCATTTTCCCCCTTTTCCTTGCTCTCCCCATTCTTGTTGTCGCTTGTTTGTTTTTGAACTTTCCCATGCATAAATTTTGCATATTAATTGGAGCGAACGTTGGACAGACCACGCCCCCCGCCCGCATACTCGCACAATCGACGCCGGGCAGCCTGATTAGTTGGCCTAAAAAAGCCATCAGGCTTTGATTAACATTTTGTGCACACACAAATGACGGCCAAATGTGTTTTTGGACTAAATGAGTTGCATCTAATTGAGTGACAAAACATGCCACAACAACAACAACATTGACTACAACAACAACAATAACTCCGACACTGTCCACTTTCACAAACTGTGCCAATTTGTTTTAAAATGCATCAGCCTGGCGCTCAATCAGACTCCCATCGACAGTTCCCGGCTGGCTCCAACTCCTCCGGATCCGGCTGGCCGTTCAGGTCCTCCTCGCCTGTTCCGGACTGCTTTTCAATTTGCATGCAAGCGTCAATTACTCGCACAAGCCATTCGAACCCAACTCCAATAGAGTGTGGTACAGTGAAGACTCTGCGAATGTGGACTCCAGAAATCGGAAATGGTTCACTTCAGGATTCAGTTCATAGAAAAAATAAAGGGATGCATCCTTTGATACTATCCCCGTCCACTAGAGCTGGAAAAACATCGATATCTGAGGCAATCGATGCTTTCGATTGCTTTTAAGCAAAACATCTAAAGTATCGATATTTTCAAAAAGAAAACAAGTAAGAGGTTCTAGTCGGGAGCTCCCGACTAGGGGATACCTTGAACCCTCTTCTTTCGACAGGCGATAGGTAAAAAATGAAAGATACTTGATATATATATACTATTCTAGAAGCTACATGTCAAATTTGGTGACCTTAGCTCATAATTTTTGCCGAAATTGCTCAAAAAACAGGATTTCGATATCGATTTTTATCAATTTCTTGGAAACGGGGCCTAGGAGGACCTACAGCTAAAATTTCAGCTCTTATAGGTTCTGATATCCTTGCGTTCTTACATACGGACGGACGGACGGACGGACGGACAGACGCACATGGCTAGATCGACTCGGCTGTTGATGCTGATTAAGAATATATACACTTTATATAAAAAGAAAAAAACATTTATTATTTCCAATACAATTCATGTCTTCAGGTCTTCCGGCTATATTGGTTTTTCGAAATATTGTCCTCAAATAATAATAGCATCCGACCGTGATGATTCGAATTTTTACATATTTTATTTTCCAATAAAAGGCCAAAAAAAATAAATGATTCCATGTAAAATAATTTTACTTGTCGCTTTTTTTGCTCAAAAAGTGTTAGAGTTGGGAAAACCTCGAAATCATCGATGGTTCCCAATGAATTATCGATAGTTGTCAAAACACCAAATACATCGATATAATCGATAGTCCCATCGATTGTTTTCCAGCTCTACTGTCCACCCAAGAGAGCCTTCACAGTATGAACAAATGTGCCTCAGCTCAAAACTCTGTAACCTGTTCCTAACGTACCCCTCACAACCCACCAACCCGCCTCTGCCCCTCCCACCGTTGTTCGCTTGGTTTTATAAAAGGTTTTGTCCTTTGCCGTCTTTTATATGCAGATTGCGCTTGCATCCTCTGTGCTTGCATCTTTTTGTTTTTTTGTTTGTTTGTTGTTCGTTCGGATCGTGTGCCTTAAATTACTTAACTGCGCATCTTTGATGGACTCTCGAGTCCTGGGCTTGTTTTTTGGCACCCAATTTGTCATTAAGCCCAATTTGTTGGGCTTCGCGCTACTTTGATTTGCACAGGCCACGAATTTGCCAGCAAATCAGCAACAAATAAAACGACAAAAAAACGCGCGTTAAATATTTAAAGATCACTTGACGCATTCAAAAAGAAGAGGAAGCAGAATCATTTCTCACTTACGCGCAAAATGCAGTCCAATTAAGGGTGTCGCCGGTAATCAATTTTAATGTGGAGCCCATTGGGTGCAAATGATCCCAAATAATCACCTGGAAATAAAATGAAGATGAAGCAAGAGAAGCATATAACTATATTGGCTTGGAATATTTTTGAACAAATAGTTTGAGCTTGGAAAATAAACAAAATTAAGTGAGCACTAAAAAAGATACATTTTTGACACACCAAAGATAAAACACACTTACCGACAAAAAGCTCAAAAGTGCATGAATACAAAACATTTATTTACGACAGATTGTTCCTATTAGAGGTTTATGATATAGTTTCATATAGAAGATGGCCGAATTCGATCAAGGAATCAGGAAATACAATTTCGATGCCAAAACAAACTTTTCGAGCGATTTTATCTATAGAGCTATATACGATATAGTAGCAGTATGTAAGGAACCTGGCAGGCTCGTATAGGTCAATATATCTGGAATCAAGATTGAAGAAATCAGGAAGAACAATTAAGACTTTCCATGAGCCAAGTATATATTATATAGTAGAAGTGTGTAGGGAGCCAAAAAATCTCTGCATTTT